CAAATATATGGACATGTGTCCTTTGCAGGAATGCCACAAACTTAAAAATAGGCTATATTCTTTGTTTTATTTGGCAATTATATAACAGAAAGTAAAGAAAACTGTTAAACTGTCGAAATAACATTTGGGATATTACTTGCATTGCAAAGCATTTCGTTTTTAGTAGACAAGTTATGAAGGGTTATCACATTTGCATTTTGACTTTGACTTTATGCTATTGCTCTGTGTTTTTTCTCACTATGAAATAAAAAGGTATTATTCTGTTGTCAGATTGAAGCAATTGTTAACTGTTGATTGAGTCTGTAGTGATGTGTAACACAAACGATAATGAAGGTGACTAATTAGCTAGCTAGCTAACAGCTCCCATTGTCATTGTGCTGACCAGTCTTTTGCTATTTCAGACAACGTTTCCCAGTCGAAATTCATGAACTAAGCCAGTGTTCACATCTTTCAACATGGCAGTAAGGGTAGCAGGGGCGGACTGGGACTACAAATCAGCCCGGGACTCTCGACTGGCCCACTTCGGTACCGCAAGTAGATACCGCTAGTAAATTGTCGACGTGGGGGGGGGTAGTATGCAAAGGCAAATTCACTCACTACATCTACCATTTTAAAATTAATTTGAGGACATTTTGACTTATCACGGTTGCAAAGCACAAATGTAAAATATGAAATGAATGATGTTTTTTCCGCTTGACGCTAACTGACTGTCACACTCACTGGAACACAGGAATAGCAGATAGCCTGTGTGACAAAGCTTCATAATTACTGCACCAGCCTCAACTTTTCTAGAAATTCTCCAATGGGTTTTAGTGTTGAAATGCTCTGTGAGTTTCAAGTTGGATTAGTTTAGAGACTTTTCTTAACCTAGACATTTAGAAGCTTCTTTCAGTCTGAGGATGTTTTGTAACCTCAGCCCCTGAGCTGTTTGTTTTAAAAAGAGACCTTGATTATCCCTCTGAAAAGAAACAACACGGCCTTGAAATGAACTGATGTATTCTCTCTGTACTGCAGTCACAGAGGCAGGTGGCTTGAATTGTATTCTGGTTTATTTAGGGATTCTCTTTTGTTTCTCTGATGAGCTTGTCTCCGTGCTATTGTTGATCGCTGATGCAACAATACAAGCCCTTTCTCTTTGATTCTGACGGACTGACTAAACCTGATGTTTACCACTGTCTTTATACATATTTCAAAGGTTTTCTATCAACATTTATTTTTGCACAACAGATGTACAATAAAAAACCTTTGAGTAACATGATGTTACGTTTTCATGCTAGAAATGTGGGGTCACTATTAGTGTTTCTAAAAAAGAATATGGCATCCACAATGGAGAAACTGGTGAGGTTATAGCACAGCAATATGTAATTCTGCAAAAAACAAACTTTGCACAAAAGCTTAAGGTTAAAACTAACTTTTTGAAATTCTTGTCTCTTCTCTTTTGGCTCTTACATTTGTTTATTTAGCCTCCAAATAATCATTAACATGTGCTTAAAGGCAAAGAAAACCCTGAAGTACATTTACAATTGATGACTTACACACTTTCCAAACGATTTCCATCCATTATCAGTGGCCACGAGCCATGTATATTCTAATATACAACCCCAGTGTAGCTGAGCTGGGACTATTTTAACTTGATTATCTGTACTGTAGGTGAGTTGTGCAGGAGGGAAATCCCAAGACTGTCAAAACTCAAGGAACAACAACATCTGCCCCGAGCTAAAACCTACAATTTACAGTTTTTAAAAACCGTATTAATATTTCTTGACAGTTTAAGTGTTTCATGCTACGACTTATACAGAAAAGACTATTCTTGTGCATTGTAGAAAACTACGTATACAGACCAAGAGATAACAAGACACAAATCACCTTTGCTGTTAGTCCTGGAAGTTCTCATTCATAACACTTAGTTCGATGTCTCACTATGGGATGAGCCTCAACGCGTATGCCAGCAGAAGCATCAATCTCATTACGCCAATCCTGATTGGCTGGTGATCTTCCAACGTCACGGAATGCAGCACTGTGTATTTTGGGATCGCTCTTAGTGGACGAACACCTAGAACACTACGAACTATAACAGTCCGGTCCGTCACGGCGTTCTACCACTCCACTGCCTGACAAAGATCGGGCGTAGTCGGGGTTCGGGAGAAGTTCACTCGCAAGTCCAGAACCTTCGGACTAAGGGGCACACTTTTCTTCTTAAGTGAGACTCCTGGGCTGTTCGGGAGAAATAGGGGTAGGTGGCGTACTGGGTCGATTGAGAATATACATTCGTGTCGACAAACGAAGCGGTTTACAGACCGTCAGAACACTAGGACGTGCACCTTACTAACATCGGGAGTCGTCACGGGAAGACAGGGCGGAGTTTCTGGAGGCACACCAGTACACAACGTATTGTGGGCCTGCCACCTGGTTTGTCCTCCGAGTTATCTCACAATCTATCGGTATATCGTCCATTGACCACTTAACTCCAGCCTAACGATCGGTAGTCGCAGTTCCTCTAGTCCTTACGCAAGAGTCGCCGGCGGTACCGCCGCTCTTCGAGGCGGACCCGAGCCGTTGCCTAGGTCGAACAAGGAGAGTGGAATTTGACCACCGTCACTCGTCTGAAAAAGTTAGCAATTACAACCGAGAGTGGAGAGACCTACTCACCCAGTATAGTCGCTGAACCACTCGGAGTGGGGGCCTCGAACTGCGTCTGTTCATGGAGTCTTACCAAGTGTCAGAAGTCCTTGTTGTTCGCTACAACACTGACGGCACCGGGCTGAGACTTTATTATGAACGAGGTCGTGCCTGGGAGAAACCAGAAAATCTTGTCGGGTCAGACTGTCCGGCAGTTGTGGTACCCGGTAACTTATGATCCTTCAGGAATAGGTCCGACTGTTAACCTGTATGTAAGAGAAAGCAAATTGACAGCCACGCTCTGGGAGGTGTCTCTGGAGACATACAGACTTACATGCAGAGGTACGAAAATCCTTGCAAATAAGTGACGTACGTAGGGGGTAGGGAAGGGTCACCTGGTCACTAAAAACCTCTCCGGTCAGGATCGGTCTAATCGAAAGTCGAATAACCTCTTTCTGCGTGCCCAGAAAGACCCGTATGTCCCCAGGGTGATGGCCTCCGAAGATACCTGGCGTACTGTCGAAGTGGACCCAGAACGAAGACTCCGAAGACCCCCTGGCGTTAAAGTGTCTGAACTCTCCCCAGAGTGAGCGTCCTCCGAAGACCCCTGGCGTAGTTCAGAAGTGTCCGACCCAGAACGAAGGCCTCCGAAGCCCCTGGCGTAGTGTCTGAACTCTCCCCAAGTGAGCGTCTCCGAAGTATACCTGGCGTACTGTCGAAGTGGCCCGGCGGAAGGCCTCCGAAGACCCCTGGCGTGTTTCGAGAAGTGGCCCCAGACGAAGCCTCCGAAGACCCTGGCGTAGGTCGTCTGAACGTCTCCCAGCAGTGAGCGTCTCCGAAGATACCTGGCGTACTGTCAGAAGTGACCCGGAACGAAGGCCTCCGAAGACCCCTGGCGTAGTTTCAAAGTGGCCCCCCAGAACGAAGCCTCCGAAGACCCTGGCGTAGTGTCGACTCTACCAGAGTGGCGTCTCCGAAGATTACCTGGCGTACTGTCAGAAGTGGCCCCGGAACGAAAGACCTCCGAAAGACCCCTGTGTAGTTTCAGAAGTGGCCCCAGAACGAAGGCCTCCGAAGACCCCTGGCGTAGTGTCTGCCTGTACTAAAAAAAAAAAAAAAAAAAAACCCAATACAGGGCTGTTCGTATCGAACGCACATCGGTAACCCGCCTCCGAGATTACCACTTCGCCCGTGTTACGGCGTGCTCGCCCCCAATAGCTATCGGAGACCAGCACAGGCGGCTCCGTCCTGCTCGTCTGGACCACCTCAGACACGGACTCTAGAATTTGGGCGTCGGCGTATCGCTCGGAAGGCTAGCCCACTGCGAGACCACACTCCTCTCTTCCAGGTAGAACACGCCCGGCCGCACCTCACCTGTGCGATACGCTCCTTTTCGCGCTGCGCATCTAAAAAAGAAATTTCTATAATTAACACACAATTATGGAAAACAAAAATAGAGCAGAGGAGACCACACTCTCTCTTTCTCTTGCAGGACGATGGCACCACACGCCACAACCACTCCCTCTTTTGATCGTTGTCCATACAATGACGGAACTTCTTTTTTAGTTTGGAATGGCATTAAAGCTTTCTTCTTGCTCTCACAATTACCACACCATATAACAAGTCTAGAAAACGTTTCGGTTTTCATTGCCGTTCGGCTGGCAGCTTTCCACCCAAGTCAGACCACACACGGCCGCACTCTCTCTCTTCTCCACACACCAATCC